CTGAAAGGGCATGATTTCAATTGACCTGTCTATTCACTCAGGCTAAGCTCTTGTGATTATCATAACTGTCAGAAATCGACAGGTTTACACACTAGAAAAATAATTTAACAACTGGCAGTAAGTCAAGATACAGTCGAGAATGCGTCATCTCTTCTTCCTTCTAGAGGGAAGGTATCAGTGCTTGCCCAATCAATGGAAAACGTCATTATCATGGTTATTAATCCTACACTTTTGCTAATATATTGTATGAGCTTACGCAATTTTCTTGACTTTTGGGACATTAATAAAAGTGGAAAGCGATAAGGAAAGTGAAATATGGAAGCGCAGTTTTATAGGGGAACTTGGTATATGGTTGGATTAAACGATAGGCCATTATCGACGCCTTGAAGCGAGAATGGCACTTTTCTTAACTACTACAAGCGCTTCCATGAACTTGTAAAAACTACGCTTTTCAGGATCTCAAGGAACGGGTATTTATTTAATAAGCGATCCAGATCAGATTAAAGACGTGTCGGAGAAGCAGCTGGTACAGGTGGGTCATTTCTATCTGAAGGCATTGTTTGCGAAAACTACGCGCTCCCACCATTCCTGTGTGGTTGTAAACCATATCTGAGCAACATAAAAAATCGACGATAGAAAATCAAAATTGAATCCATACCAGTAACAAATATATTCTCCTTTAAAGGCAGCGATTACGACATGTTCAAGAAGGTTCAAAGGAGATGTGGTGGTGCTCAATGGTTCGCCAGTGGGAATCCGTCGAGAAATTGCAAAACGGAACCCCCCTTTTCTAGTAGTTGGTTTCCACCCATGAACGAGTAACGACTCAGAAAGCGGACACAAGAGCGAGTTCATCGCAGACCGTTAGATCGCGGGGCGTGATTCAACCAGTGTCTTCCTTCCCTCACCATTCGTTACACCTTAATGTTTTTTCTTGCCTCCACGTGCCCTTTCTAGACCATTATCGGTAGAGGACAGCAGTTCATTGATAGCTTCGGTTGAAGCAAATTTGCTGAGGGGTTTACCGACACGTAGTTCATAAATATAAAGGGGACAAGAAAAGTTCAAAAAAGTCGATAAACGAGTCTTGCGAAGTCTTTCTAAAGTGTCGCCCGATCAGCAATAGAACTCCCCGATCACCTAATGCAAATATATTGCACTACTTCATTTCTTACACGAATAAAATGAAGCAACTGATTTACAATAACAATTCATTATAGGAGTACGTTGCGGACCCATTTCTCATGAAAGATCAACTGAAGTTCGACTTTCGAGTCTACGGTGTGATAAAGAGCATCAATCCGCTCTCGATCTACGTTTCAAGAGAAGGCACGTTTTGCAAAGTGATATAATTTTACAGTAGAAACAATAGCGACGAGATAAGACAATGGAATCTGCGCTGCGCTTGACTTCCATACAAATCTTGATTTCTGAGTTTTTTAATGCGCATGAGAGGTCTGGATTGTCGCGTGCAGTAAAAACTGCCTCTGCTGCGGATATATTGGGTTGATGCCCAATTAGTGCGGAATTTTTTTCGCGCCTCTTTCGAACAAATTGACGTCTCGTTCATTATTTCTCATGAAAATAATCTCCCTCTTTCATTAATATGTAGATTACGTATCGAAAATCATACCCATATTCGCCACATTATGCTCTGAAACTTCGAGAAGGTTGGTAGGCGACAATGTCATTTCGCGATCAACAAGCACATTCACATTTACAATAACTTAGCTTTTCACAGCTATTACGTTAAGTTGACGTTAATCAACAATAGGGCACATGTGCCAAATGATGCGGTTTGCCACATCATTTGGCACACGTGCTCCATTGTTGATTAACGTCAACTTAACGTAATAGCTGTGAAAAGCTAAGTTATTGTGAATGTAAAGCAAATAGTTAAGGTAGTACATTCTCTACGTAATTCTCGATGCACAAAATATTAGGTACCGGATATATCAGTGTCGTTTTTTCACCACGAGTTGCGTACCACCAATATTCTTATTCAGAATCCGGGGAGTGAAACAGCATATTATCGAGTGACCCACTAGCACTCTCGATTTACAGTATTGCGGGACCTCGCCGATCAAAGCTAAGAAGATTTTTATAAGTGTCAGAAGAGGCAGGTCGGTTCTCAGACACTCATCTGACAAAATTGCTCTTCACTTTGCTAAAAAGTTGGGCCTGGACAAAATATACAGTTAGTTAGAGTAGGGTCTGCACTGTTGGTGGAAAATTTATAACTTACCAGCTCAACTGGACAATTTTTCCCGGAGTCTTTTTTGCCACATAGGGTCAAAAACGCACCCTTTTTGAGCACACGTGAGTAGCAGATGAGCACATTTATTAGAATTTCTTGTGCAATCAACTTCGTTAAGCGTTTGTGCATCTTCGATCAGTCACTGCTAAGGTGTCCTATCATCTCAACACAAGACTGGTGCAGCCCCGTCTCGACTGATTGCGGAAGGCCTTTTTTGAGGCGAATTGCGGGCATCTCTTCAAAGACTTTACTGTCTTTCGAGAAAACTGTAAAAAACCGATGAGCATTTTAAATGGTAGTATTCCCTCCTAACAAATGCAATGTTGGTTTGGTGGGCGGAGGTTACAGCTCTCAGCAAGAATTTTGAAGCATTTGGTACACACATGCGAATTTGCACACGGACCAGGGATTTTCAAAAGAAAGTATAAAAATTAGGGGACTTAAATTGTACCAACACAGAAACGAATAAGCAATAACATAGCAAGTATTATGTGCAAAACTTTCTGAAATACTTGATGTTCAATGGAAATCGGCCGAAATTACGTAACTGTCCGTGGGACATAACTAAGGAGGTCTTTCAGGGCAAGGTGCGCTTTTTGGAAAACGGTTTAGTACATGTTGTAGGGACGCATGTATGGACCACAAAACCATGTTTCGTTTTCGCTGAACGGTTTTAGTAGTACCAAAAAAGTGGTGAATAATACTCTTGATGGTTCAATCCCCCGCGGCGACTAAATTTTGCAATCAAGGTTGGCGGCCACTTGTTGGCTTCAAAATGGTCCTGACGATGAATTTGACATCTGATTTTGATATTTAGCGCGATTTGGCACCAAACCGTAGGCGCCAACCCAAATGCAAAATTTAGTCGCCACGGGGGATCGAACCTTTAACAGTACCTTATGCTTTTTTTACTGCTATAACCGTTCAGCGAAAACGAACATTATTTTGCGTTCCCTACATGGCCCCATTGCACCAGACCTTTTAAAAAGGGCGCCCAGAAAGACCTTCCTTGTAAGATATCCGGTACCTAATAGAATGGGGACAATCTCTCAATTTCCGATCTTCATGTACAGGTCGTGAAAAGGACTATATGACGCAAAATACCACAACCTGATTTTGTTGTAACTAATTGCCACTCAGAAGACCTTAGGTCGCCTTTGTTATGTTGCAGTGTCCTCCCAAGTGCTCCATTGCCAGTGGCGAATTATTACGGTTTATTGCTGCCAGCATCGCGTCTTGACGTGGCTTTATTGTATGTGCTTTATATCGTACTTGATGTGTATCCAAACTGCATTCGGGTTGATGCTGTGTTGGACCGATGTCTGCGGCGACGCGCTGATGTATAGCTCTCTCACAATATAATGCGATGGCTCATACATGCACATTGTCGCACATTCAAAGCAAGAGTCTAAGGTCAATTGATCTCAATAGTCATGCGAATAGAGATTAGAGCTAAGTAGTAGAATCTCGGAGTAAAGAAATTGAAGAGCTATCTGTAGGAGCACAGAAACGTAATTTTACTTGTTCACGTGGCGGAAAGAATCTAATCGACAGATATGCGAAACAAAAGAGCATGGCGCAGGTGGCTCAGGAGGGGGGGGGGGGGGACGTCGCCGGCGCAATCTTGATCATCCGCGCCCTGAGTACTAGTAGAGTGGCGAGGAATTTGGAAAGTAAAATAGCTATGATCCTGGAGGTCATAACCCTTAGAAGCTTATAGTCCAGATATAGCAAAGAGGATATGCCCACACAGAAAAATGCAGAGATCGCGCGCAGCTACTGGTACTCCTCGAACCACATTGCGCCCAAGAGATGATGTGAGTCACAGAGAAGTGAAAGACCTCGCGTCGAGAAAGTACTGCTGATCAACTAATACGGCACAAGGACATATTGGACGGTGGGTGGGTAGGTTCGACTAAGTGTCGCAACCTCTGCAGTTGTGGACCAATCACGTCCACCCACAGGAGAGAACTCTTCAGTGAGGTTGACCCGACCTTTGCCTTTATGTGACTCTCTACCCCCTCGCTCCACCCTTCAATCCCCAAATTGACCACACTCCCTCGTGGACCGTTTTGCCAACTGTTATCGCTATCTCTATGAGAGGGTGCGGACACAGGAAAATGCGCGCTGCTGAATGCTCTCCTCAACTATAGCTTTCCACAAATCAGCTTAGGCCGATGTCAGACTTTGCGAATCGCGCGATTCGCTAGCGTCTGCGGTCGCGTCGCGGCCAGTGAATCACTCAATTGGCTGGTACCGCAACGCGACCGCGGACGCTAGCGAATCGCGCGAATCGCTAGTAGCGAATCGCGCGATTCGCAAAGTCTGACATCGGCCTTAAATGCTCATTTTCAGGTATGGTGCGCTTTTGCACTGAGAAATACCGTAAACCGACTCCATCCAACTTTAACAATCTCTATGCTCACCTTACTAATTATTCACTAAATAAAGGAAACTTTTCCTACGTTCACAGTCTTTCCTTGATGGATCAAGCTAGTGGTGAGTAGTTCTTTTTATATTAATTCTCCTTGTATGGAGCACTCGTTTTAGTTGTACAATTGTTACAATATTATCTTCAGGAAGCAAACGTCTCTTATCAACAGTTTTCGGCCAAATGGCTAAATGTGGTCTTCGAACGAAAAAATTGTGGCACGATATCAAAATCATAATCGTTAAGACGGTTCTCGCCATGTTGCCCGAGTTAATGATTAATTATGAACACGAGTTTAGTGGAGTTGTAGGGCCGCAGTGTTTTCAGGTTTGATCTTCCTTTCTAAATTTACAGTTGATTTTTTTAAATTTAATCCCAAGAACTTCGATGGCTCGAGTGGCACTACTAAGCTCATTACGTTTAGCGATTTATCGTTGTAAGTTTTCGTAGTGATTTCGTAGATGCATGCGAAGTTGGGTATAGTGCAGAAGTTGCAACACAAGCAGATGCGCGTCTGTATTTGTTGCAAAAGGAACCGTGTGCAAGCGAGAAAGCGTTTTGAAATTTTCGTCTAAAACAATTTTCCTCTTCTTTGTTTCTTTCGTTTATACGAACGTCACGAAGCAGGGTCAAGCGAGGCGTTGAGGAAAATTTGGAAATACGACCCCCCCCCCCCTCCGCCTCCGCCGAAGTCCATGAAACAACCCTCTTCAAAAGCCGAACTATGAAAAGGTTGAAAAGCTTGTTTAATTCTCCCCCAAAACTGCTCATAAAAAAGCCCTGCTACCCCACCCCCACAAAAAAATTCGTTTAAGAAGTACAAAAGTGAAAAAGTCAAAGAATAATCATTATTGATGAGTCCTACCAAACGAGCAAACGAGAAACAGACCAGAAAACGACAAACTAGCCACTAAAAATGGCATACCATGACAACATCTGTTCTTTATTTATTTCCTCCACAAGACTTACCAAATTCTAGTACTACACAGATTGTGGTTCTCAATTTGCACGTAGCCCTTCAGTTGAAAGAAGCTTTTTAACCGCCTTCGCCAGCTGTGTGTTGACTGGACTTTGGCGTTGACCGTGGAGCAGCTTATTTACTATTGAAATTTGAACAAATATTCAAATGATTATAACTTTCTTCAAATATGACGAATTTTCAATCTGAAAGCTAGATTTGGAAGTTTTGTGAAGAGCTTTTTCTAATCAGTATAGAAATTACAAAAAGTTATAAGAAATAACAAATTTAGGTCAATTAACGAGGAAAATTCGAGATGAGCACGAGTTTTTACACTTTCCGAAGCAACAACTTGCTTCATTTTCGTCAAATTCGAAAAGTTAATATGGCAGACAAAACTAGAAGATTTTCTCTACCAAACCGTTGCTAAAGCAGCTCTATACGTCCAGTATTCAAAAAATGGCCACGTTGAGGATTTTTGCAAAATTAACGAGGAAAATTTGTGATGAGTGCGAGTTTTTTTACTTCCTAAAGCCATAACTCCGTTCAAACTCATCCAATCCGAAAAGTAAATACGCCATCATAAACTAGAAGATTTGCTCTATCAAATGCTTACTAGAACTGCTCCAAACGTCCAGTATTAAAAAAACGGCTACGTTGAGGATTTTTGCACACGAGTACCGCCGAAAGGTACTTTTTCGCTACATTGGCACTATTTCAACGGCTGTATATCCTTTTAAGGGCGATTATGTACTAAAGTAAGAGCAGATTTGGAATCACTGCTTTTCTCTTTCTAAGAAAGTGATTGATTAGCGTTTCTCAACTTTAAAGGTTACATGTTTATAAATTTAACCCTGAAGAGTCCGTTAACGCAATGTTGAATGGTGTACACCTCCCTGTAAATGCGCACGGACACTTTCAGAATTCTCTCGATTGTTCCTGAATTGAGGTTGTTTGTCCAAGGAGCCGTAGTTGAAGCGCGCGCAACAACTAGACCCTTTCTCGGATGCGCCGTGTACCTCACATCCCTTCAGATTCGGGGTCTTACTTGAAAGATGAAATATCTCTTGGAAAGCGTGCGAAATTCAGATTCTTTAACTTGTGTGGTGATAAAACACTGAAGTAACTAAGAATTACCGGACGCCTCAGAATCACGAAAATTTTGTGTGGGTGAAATATCATTTTCATTGGAAATCCTCTGGCCTGGCATCGACTCATCCTTGATATTTGTCTTCCGACGGTGATGATCCCACTGCATCAAAATGGCTCGATCTCTTCCACCCAGCGGGCCAATACGACCCCCCCCCCTGCGACGTGTCGAGGATTCCTCAACGCACGCTTGACCCTGGTCCAAAGTCGTTAGCTTGTCTGCGCGTTTTCAGTATCGCTACAGTAATCTCACTCACACTTCAATATAGAAATTCCTTGTTGAATCATATTTCTCACAATCACTTTTCTGATGAAAAAATAGAAAACTTTAGTTTAATTTTGTATGAGTTAACATATGTTAGGTCCACCCACGAGCAAGTGCCGATTCGACACTGATTTTTAAAATTTTACTACTTTTTTCAGAAGCACCCTTCATTGAGTGCCATATTAAATCACAACTGTCCGCAACTGTCCCCTGCTATGGCGCACGTAAATGGGTGCCTCTCTCCAACGATTGGGCAGTCTTCGACGCGACGAATAATTGGGTAACCAAGCGGCACAACTGATTTTTGGTTAGTACCATTGAAGGATTATGAAGAGAGGGATACCATGCTTCTGTTCAGTATTATGGCTACTGCTCGGGACCTGTAGGTTGCGAGTTGCTGCCCAATGAAACATTTTCACCTGGAAGCCACACACTGTTGCAATATAGAAGCAAATCTGTGCAGTTAGAGATTGTCTGGCGCAATGAAGTAGTGGTGCGGTTGGACGACTGTAATGTGGTCGGCATTTTCAACAAAAGGGAGAGCGGCAACCTGAATTGGGTGAAAGTTTTCTCTTGGAGTCTCCGTGTCGTGCTGAGCTACATACCTGATGATGCCTTGTAGTGCTTGGAGCTGCTCACTTCTCAACCCTGATCCCGCATTGGTCAAGTCAGTCGGCCAAGAACTCCCAACTTTGAAACTCGGCAGTGATACCCCGTGCCCCTCCGAGCACACGTCATCACACTCGAGTGTGGATTTTCGTCATTCCAGCTTGTTAATTTCTACATTGGCCTAAGAGCACGAAGTCACGGTGATATGAGAGAACTAAAGGTTTACAGCAATTTAACGAGTACTGGTGCACATGCTCTTCAAACTCTGCAAAAACTTCTTAGATGTCCGTTCAATATCGTACGGCCGTTGCTGATTCCAAAAACGTGATGTTGATCCTGGCTGTTTAGTCGCGCTGCGCGAACCTCCCAGAACGCCACTTGCAACACAAAACCTATATCCTTTGAGCGTGCATGGCGCACCTCAGAGCAGAGGAGTCTGCTGCAGAAGTGCCCATATTTAACAGTTGACGTAAACAAAGATTGCTGCACAGGAGAACTAATGTCTTCAAAGTGGATCTAAGTTCGTAAAGGAGTGACCGTATGAGTATATTCACTGCTAAAGGCTGGGTAAGAAAAAGTTTATGCAAAAATATTGCATGGTCGGCAACATCCCATTAGAAAGAGTTAGATCTATTAAAAGCAAAAGGCTCGCACGATAGGCCCTCTGTTACGGATGCCATGTCTTCGTCCCCACAAAATCTGAGTATGATGAGAGTTGTGGGTGTTTGAAAACTCGTGTTTTCAAGAGAGTAGCTCCTAAAATTCACGAAAAAAAAAGCGGGCCAACGGGATGATTTTGTTGACTTGTTATCTGGTTTAGAAAGAGAGTTTGAGTAGAGTTCTGAGATCTTAAACTAGCTTGTCCAGTTTAGCAGGGGACCGAGATTGCAAAAAGTTCTTTCTGAGGAAAGTTATAAATCATTGAAGGCCAGGAAACCCGCTTCTGAAAGAAACAGTCCAACGGGGGCGATTTTTTCTGAAGAAATGAAACTTTACCGTAATAACTTCGTATAGCACTTTCTTTAAAGAGAAAACAGTCGTAGTGCAAAAATTTCTCACCACTTCTCACACTGTCTTAATTTGAAAAAAAAAATTACAACTTCTGAAATGAGAAAGTCTGTGGATTATAAATTCTCTACCGCATAATTAAAAGAGTTCAGAAGATACTGCATGAACGTAGTGGTTTTCTCAACTAGCAGTTTCGTAGATTACAATCATGATTGTGTGTCATGATTTTAGTTGTTTTTCTCTTTTTTTGTCTCACAAGTGCATCATAATATAGTTTTCTTCTAACATCTATTTTTTACTGCTCCTACGCGAGTCCTTGCAAATGGTTGGCTTGTTTGTTATGTATCGTCACTTCATTTCGTCTATGTGTGGAACAATATTGGGTACCGTTGAAACGAATTAACACTCATATTTAATAGTCGCCTCGGTCTGTCCGTCGTGCTCGGCGAGAAGAAGATTGTGCGCGGCCAATGCAAACTTACCTGCGGGCTCAATGCTGGGGGAACGGTCAAAAGAAAATATTAGGTCGGTCCATAAGTCTTGCAACAAACTGGCCGAATTTTGAATTTAATATTTTCATTATCTTTTTGTTCCATTCATCCGGCATGCTACCCTCCATCAATATCTACAACCTATTGCCAACACACTAGTAGCTGCTCGATGCCTCCCTTGTAGGACTCTACTGAATTCTGATCGAAGAAAGATCAGATGTCGATTTTGACATCATCATAGTTAGGATGAGCTTTCTTCTCTAGGAGATGGTTTGGAGAGGGGAGCAGAAGGGCATTATTTGCCTCGAGGTCAGGGCTATAACGTGAATACGGAAGAACTCTCCGTCCCAGAGTCTCGAAATTTTCCTGAATTTTCTTAGCAAGAGGTTTTTCAACGGTGTCATACAAAAGCAAACTTTGCCTTGTTTTTCTTTCGTATTAAAAGCGTTGCATTCGAGCTGTGGATAGTTGACTTTCGCGTTGACTGCGACATCTACACGGAGGGGTTTCCAGAGCTAACTCCTCCCGTGTTCCACCAAAAATCCGAGAAGGCCCTACTTGGACGAGGTTGAACTTAAGCAATAAGATCTCCCGAAGCGTTTGAGCTGGACTACCGCCGCTTGTTCATTTGTTAGTAAACTGTACCCACTCCTCATCTTCGGCAAATGTGATGGATGGTCAATCGTAGAATCCCTAGTAAGTCGACTTGAACATAACGGTGTCAGATCGTGTTTGGAGCTGAATCGGGCTCAAGGCACGTGGGGACCAAACTCTACATTTTCGGATCTTCACAAGTCTTTGGAGATGCCACAGTGCTGTCTCCTTGTCGCATCGGAATCGCTCTAGCAAATGATCGATACTCTATCCAGATCCCTTTTCAACGCCGTCAGATATAGAGCATCGTGATTGTCAGTCACAGGGTGGTTGGAGTGTGGGTTATTTTCAAATAAAAAAGTCAACGCTGAGCAGAGTGAAGCGCCGTTGCACTGTGGTTTGAGAGAGCTTGCCCTCGCCTATCTTCTGGCCAATCCTTGGTCTAGCATGACTTGCGGAACATTCCAAGCAGTACTCGTAAAAATTAAGGGCACCGAGAGCCCTCTCGCGAAATCGGTGTAATATCCATAATAAGTAGCGAGACAACGAGCTGGACCGTTGGCTGAAATTGCAAAGGTTGATGCTACGTCAGGAAATATGTTGCGGATTTTCAGGAGTTCTCCCTAAAATTCTATAGCATTAAATGTAGTTTGTTGCAAGACTTATGGACCGACCTAATAGTATTATGAATAGTACAGTAACACACCCAATTACCAAGTGTACAACACGTAATAAGTGATTAGAGGGGGTTGTATCGAGACTCGCCAAAAAAAGAGGGGGTTACAATTTTCGAAATTGGTCCCACGTGACGGTTGACCATGCTTAGCAGGGTCATACTCGTAGCGCGGCACACCCACCCTCCAGCCGTCTGGCTTCAGCATCTAGCAGAAAAGCGTCACCGTTGGCTAAAACAGCTTATTCGAGTGCTGTATCAATGCGGGAATCCACGGGCAAAGTGCGGTCCCATATCCTTGGGTTCTAGCCGTTTATCGTAGTTTTATTCAGCCCAGTGAGCACCTCTTCCATGATTTTTGGTAGGCTGCCTTTCCATCGTAAACTACGTCTTTGAGTGATCTTAGGTATTTTTCATGCACTATTTGTTCGACATGCTTCAGATTATTGGATTCGATATTATTGTACGTGAAAATGGAACTCCGGTTCTCCTTGAAGTGAATGCCGCGCCCTCTCTCACAATTGATCATAGTCTGGCTAACGGAACCCGCATGAAGAGTATAGTTGACGAAGTTCGTTTGAAAGATTTCGATTATCTGAATTACATGTAGTCCTGACTCTTTTCGACATGTCTTTATTGTTTTCAGCTGATCAAGCTTCCTCTCGTTCGTGACACTCTTCTATTGGTAACGAGTCAGCTACAGGAGACATCTATGCGTAGAAGGTGTGTTACAGTTCCCATACATCGACAACTCTATTTTGTTTATTATTTTGTTTTGTTCATATTCATGAAATACTGTAAGTCATGATGAAGGCAAGGGGAAGGCTAAGAAAACTTCTGGGTCATAACCAGCCGGCTAACCCTACGATCCATTACCAATGGAGAAGGCCAATGTCAACTGCGCTATCGTGCCGTGACTCGCTAGCCCACTGATAGCCTAACACGAACCACAATGGAAAAACCTCTCTGTTTACACGATCGCTCAGCTGCTTCAAAGCTTTGATTCGAAATTAGTGTTCTAAGACGATTAACTGGTCACATCTCATTTCAAGCAGTAGCCAAGCTACCACCTTCGCGTTCTTAGGTTCTGAACCTTTCTCTTAATTCCGCAATCCTCCCTGCCTCAGTGTATCTCAGAGGCAGAGCTGAGAAGAATGAGCACCGAACACTTTTCACTTCGACGACATATTTTGGGACAGAGCTGCTATTGACGGTATCCCTCTGCACGCCAAGTGAACAACATCACGACCAGGGTGAATATCGCTTGAGGATTCTTCAAC